ATATATATATATATATATATATATATATATTATGATAAAATCAAATATGTTACGCAAGTATTATGATAGTGTTTAATCAATGTAGTTATATATATTTATAAATATTTAAATAAAATAATATTTTAAAATATATATATATATATTATTTTTATTTTAATAACTTTAAAATATTTAGTAGAAATAATAACTAATAATATTTAAATATAGAGATACATTATTAAAGTATAACATATTTGTATTTGTTAAAGAAGAAAAAAATTTATTTTAATACATGAAAGAATAGTAGTGTAATATTTATATCTTTTAAGAGATGTTAGTGCAAATAATATTTCAATAATAACATTTTTTGGTAATCGAAGTTAAGAAAAAAATTTAAAAAATAAGTAAAATGTTATATCTTAAAATCTATCGTGCAAGGAATCTTGTCTAAATAATATTTTGTCAAAAACATTTTTTATAAAGAATGTTAATGAAACTTTAATGAAAAATTTTATAAATAGATAGTTTTATATATTAGCATCAGTCAAGGAATGAAACACTCATCTTAGACACATTATGATTCGAAACACAATCTAAACGCATATATTGTGATCTAAAACACTCACTTCAACACATTGTTTCAAAACACTCAATCTAGACGTGTGTTTCAAAACACAATCTAGATTGATATATTAGAATTTGGATCCTCTCTTACAATTTTCTCTCTCTAGCCTCTCTCCTGCAATATTAATAATCATTAGATATATCTAATGGCTCAAATTTAATTATTTAAGAAGTTACATTAATTATAAGATTAAATTTGAGCCATTAGATATATCCCATGACTATTAATGTTGTAGGAGAGAGGCTGGAGAGAGAAAATTGCAGGAGAAGATCTAAATTCGATATATTATGCTCTAGAACACCCATTATGTAAAATGCAAATTCAGCGTTTCAAATGTTTCAAGGGTAGTTTAGGCATTTATGAAAAATGCTAGTGCATGGAACAAAATGCCAGATGGAGGGAGCATTTGACTTTGAATTAATCTCTAACTATACATACAGTAGAACTTTTCCCGTGCAAATAGGCAAGTAAAGGGCAACATATGCAAGAGATTGAAGCTTACAAAAGCATAAAGAATTGAATTTGCATTAAATTGTGAAAATAAAGTAGTATTTTCTGACACATTTACAAAGATGCCAAGAGCCAAAAACAGTTAAATCTGGTAACCAAGAAAAATAACTGCTAAATCTATATCTTTTATTAGGCCTTGTTGAATGTCAAAGGAAAGCAAAAGTATAACTAAGCACTAGAAGGATAAAAGACAAACCTATGCCACAATTCTTTATCCCTATATATTTTTCTTATGCTTTGATTAAAATTACAGCTTGGGCTTAACTGTGAGGTTGCCCCCACTGATGAGGGGGATGGGTTAGTGCTCCTTGCGGAGAAGGAATAGTTGTCATGATCTGAATAAATCCTAATTCATGAATTTCCGGCAGTTTGGTGCTTTACATAAACAAGGGACTTTAAATTCATCCGGCTCATTGGGATCAAACAAGTAGTCATACCTGCCAGTTACAATCAAGGTTAGTTGGAAGAGGAAATTAACAGAAGAAAAGAGATATGTTATTAGCATTATACTTTCTATTTTTGGAAAAATGTGTTTGACTCAACACACGACACACGAAAAACTAGAAAAGAAATGGGCCAAACCCTACCTAAATTGGCAGTGGGTCCTACTAAATAGAGAGACCCTTGAGACCTACATTGATTTTAATTAATTATAAAGAGCGAGTTTGAAGAGTATGTCAGCAAGTGTATTGCTAGTATTCTTGGCATGCTGAAATGACAGAAATGCACATGCACACAGACCAAATGCAGCACAAGTGAGAAGCACAGATAGGGATATACGTCAACTCATCACCAGCAGAGACATCTGTCTTAGCAATTAGAGCAATCCGGCTCTCATCATCACCCACACTCATGATCCTTGCATAGCAATTGGGCATACACTGTATTGACATGATCCAAGAAAATGGTAAGATGAAATGACAGATAACAGTGACCAGTGAGGGTACGGGGGAAGCAATAATACAGAAAAACGAACAGGTATTAGCAATATTTGGCTCCTCATATAGCCAAATATTTCCTCTTTTTCCAAGATTGCCGATTTATTTTTTAACTAACTCAAAAGTTTCAAACCACAAAAATTGAGCAGTGTTATACAATTATACAATGGATTTTGGTTCACTTACAGAATGGTTAATTAACCGTGCTATATTTCCTTTATCAGTGGCATCTACTACCACTTCTTCACTTATTTTGAAAAGCTGCAAAAAATAAAGAAACCAGGACAATTTAATGTGATGATATAAACAATTAAGATGAGAAGAAAACTTCAATAGGTAAAGAGTGGGAAAATAATGAAGAGGAATTTCCAGCAAACAAAAAGAATAGTTCAGTTTGAGGACAATACTTTGACATTTAAATCTAGAGGCGACTAACACAAGGAACAATATGGAAGTGGAAGAGGACTCACATAGCAGTCTTTCCCTTCTAACCTATAGCGTGCCTCCCTAAGATCTGCAACACTGCGCCTCACTTGTTCACCACGATATTCAAGAACCTGCTTTGGATTTAATAATGCTCATTATTGTTAAAATAAAGGTTGTATTGTGATTTACCTGGGAATGAAACACAATGGATGACCATCGGACAAAGATTTCATGCTTCAGTAAATGTTAATTTTATATTTACCAGCATAAGGGACGAAAAAGAGAATTAATTTTTGTCAACATCTGAACCAGAAACTGACCCAGAATGGTACTATTAAAGGCAAAAACAACTCAAAACGAGAAAAGAGAGTAAAGGATTTAGAAATTGATCTTTGTCAGGCATTGCAAAATTCAGAAACTGCTACTGGTCAAGTTTTTTGCAGAACGATAGAATAGATGATGTCTGAAATACTTTCAACTTCTCAAATAGGCCAAGATACCATGAACCTTTGTAATTATTTCATAATTGAGTATGACATTCATACCATTTCTCCTTCTTGAATATTTCGACTTGCAAAGAGGCCCCATCCATGGATGCCAGATCTACCAAAGCAAACTCGTTCATTTTCGGTTCTCTGAAATTAAGTAAGACAATCAGAACATCGATTCCCAAATCTAATGACTGCCTAAAAAAGAGAAGATTTACCTGTAAATGATAAAGGCGCTCCCTGAAAGAAGAAAATGCTGGAGGCTTGTCAACCACCTGTTCAAGAGAAAGGATGAGCAAGAGTGAGAAAGAAGGGGGTTGAGCACTGTTTAATCTTACATTCAAGTTTCAAGCTAAAACAATGAATAGGAAAATCTCATTTAATTAGGAGAATATAGAAGATTTACTCTGTATGCATTTAAACTCCGTATTGCATCTAAAGGATGATGGCAGTGACCCCTCACATGATGAGCAACAGCTTCATCTGCTGCTCTCTAGCAAGTAGAAAAAAAATAAAAATGAGAAAAGTGCATTTTTTCCTTTTTCAAGGACATATTAGAGACAGCGGTGGATAACATAGTCTCCACAATGAAGATAGAAGTGAAGTAGTCAACACAAAAAAATAAGCATGACATTTCACCATTGCATCACATACAAGTCTGCATCCACGTAATATAGCCAGCAGGTACATTTGGCAAATAGCATTAGTTGTTAGCAAAATACATAATATATTGGTAACATTGATTGGGACATTGGGTACTAATATCATTAACGATTATTTCAAGAAGCACTTGTACTAGAAATATAAACAGTGTTTTATTTATATTTTCCTTTAAGAAAACTAAAGTTGAAAGTTTCCATTGGGAAAGAAAGCATTTATTATATTAAAAACAGAAAATCCATTTATTTCCCTTTTTCAATAATAGCTTTCCACTTTTGTTTCCTTAAAAATAATTTTAACAAAAGTAGAATATAAACAGGACAAACCTAAAAATAAATATCAGAGACAATGTTATGTTGATTAAGTATAAAAATTGCCAAAAAAAAACAAAAACCAAAATGATTCTCTAAGCTACCTTCTTCGTATGATTTGTTCTTTGAAAGATACGACACCGAGCAGCAGAAAATGGCTCATGTCTAGTGTTCTCTGCAGTAGAAATGTCTTCAACCTTTATTCTTTTAGATGAAATTAACCTGGACCCAGCTTTTTTCTTAGTTTGGAGAAGGCTTTTGGTAGAAATGACCCCAAGAGGGGTTTGCATTATCAAAACAGTGTCAGGATTGGGAGCTCTGCAAGAAATATAGACATGGTTAAGTTGAAAGAATTGAAAAGGAATAAAATGAATTTTAATAAACCCATATATGTGCAAGACTAGAAGTGTTTGGCAAAAGAAGTAGAAAGGGATAAAGGCATAAGCATGTTGTAACTCAGGATCATATACCTGTGGTAAGCACAATAAGAAACCATTCTTGTTGTCTGTTTACCATTTTTCTCCATACAATGTAACTGCATTTACATTGCAGATAAAGTTAAAAACTATTTCATGGATCATAAATTATCCATAAAAGATATGCAACTTGTCAATATAAAGTCAGTCATGAAATAGAATATTGAAGCTACAACTAAATAATGAAGAAGTATATTTTAATAATGATTATTGGCATATCTACCTATCTATCTATACATATTTAGGGTTAGGATCCATTGACATCATGGTGTTAAATTAGTGAAATAATAATTTAAATAATTTTTTTATAGAATGTAAATCCAATTGATCCAACCGTTGTATTTGATAATATTACTAATTAGATCAAATATACAATTTTCCAAAAAATTCTAAAATTACTTGGTGGTTCATCATATTATTTTATTTTAAGTATACGATAACACTTAAAATACATGTAAATATCTATTGTTAACATATCTAGAAGAGTCCAAATCATTTGAAATTTGATATGCATGATCATGAGTGTAATATCATCAAATACAATGATTGGATCAGTTAAATTTTGTATTCTATAATCTCTTTTGCAGACCCAAAAAAATTTGTATTCAATAAAAAATTATTGAAGGTATCATTTTGCTAATTGACATTATGATGTCAACAAATCCTAACCCTCCTACACACACATTTATATAAGCAGAGCATTTTACATTTCTCTGTTTCTCCCACAAGCCATCTCTTCAATTCTTTACAATAACCACTATTTTTTGTATAACAAAATAGTTCTATTGTAAATGAGTAAATCAATGCCTAATATAATAAAATAAAGTTCCAGACATGCTTATAAAACAGTTTATCATAAAATATGTAGATACTTGGACCTTTTATTTTAATTGTGAAGAGCATGTTAGGCTGTTACTGTTCTGAAATTGAAATGGCAGGGGCAAACAAAGATGTATAACCCCTTGGAGATTGGAAATGTAATACACAAATATGGTAATATAAATGATTATACAAGATACAAATTGCAACACCAACATTTAATTAATAGCTGAAAATATATTTTCCAGCAAAACCTTCAGGATTTTGATTCTTGTTAATTTTCTAACAGCATGAAAAATTAATCTTTTTAAACTGATTGAAAGCCCAAATAAGAAATGCAAGGGGGAATTTCTATGAAGGTGACTGGTGAGTAAGAAGGTCAATCATCAAATTGTATGATAAAAGCTAAAACCATATTAGCGTAAACCAGAATTATAAAATGAAAATTGGCATTAAACATTTAAAATTAAATGGAAGTCCAAATCAGAACATAACAATTATGAAAATGGGAGCCAAGTTAATATGAGCAAATCCTCACCTCCATGCGGTAGCCGGCCCTTGATGCGCACATGGCATGAAAATACGTGGAACACTTGCAACATTGTGTGCATGAACCATGAATTTGCTTACAAATAACACAAATCTGAAATCCAATTAATGCAGACTTTAGATTACATTGGCATGTAGGAGTACAACTGGACTAAGATATCCATATTATTTCATGAAAACCAGATAGATAGATACCTGTCAACTTTACTATGTTGTGTGTATGAGTTATGTAACGTGGCATAAAATATGGAGAATACATTAAATCAATGAGTGATTAATATTAATTACCAGGGGAAAAACTTTAGTTTTTATTTGAACTCAAATGTTAAAATGCACCATTAAGTGATAGTGATATGCTATACTTCTTTTAAAAGAAAGATATTAAGTACATTATTGAAACACAAAAAAAGGTGGTAATCAACACCCCCACCTTAACAAAAGAATTTGATGGAATGCTTAGAATACCCAAAGCAGGCTCCATCTTTTCATCACTAGCAAAAGATACTTCAGGTCGAAACCAAGCACAAGTGACATGAACCCATAATGTGTCAATATCGGTTGGCTTTAGAGCACCACCTGAATGGACAATCATATTTCAGAGAATAAGATTATAGACATTAACAACAAAGTAAAGATAAATTAAGTTTACTGAAGCTGTTCCCCAGTATCATGAACATAAAAGCCAAAAAAGGGTAAGGGGAGCCAAACTGATTTGTATAGAATGCACAAATTAGAGTCGAGGAAAAAATCCGTAAAACAAAATTCACAAGGTGAGTCTATAGCCTTATAAATTTTGTAAAATAAGTAAAAGGATAATTTGTGTAGAATACATTTTGAATATTGTGGATGACACACCTTTTACTGGACAAAGACAACACTCCCGCTTGATGTCAGGTGTTTCACAAGCTTTACAAACCCATGTCGTTAAGTCTTGAACATTTCTTGCTCCATAGCATTCCTGATGAACGGCTATTTGACATCTATAAAATATATAATGTATTCTTATTTTAATTGTAATGTGATTCATGAAGAAGAGTAAGAAAACAGCAACCAAGAAAGCCTTGCTTGATAGTTCAAGCTTGTAGAAGAAAAAAATGGTTTTATAAGCAAATGGTTTCGTTGTCAGTGGTTATCAGACTGACCAGTGAGTATGGTAAGGCTGCCAAACTGTTTAGTTAAAACAGAATGGAGACTGATGTGCATGGAATGGAAAAGCCCAAGGGTGGATATTGTTGTCAAAATGAATTAAAAAAATGCCGGATAATTACCTGTTGCAAATGATAATTTTGTTGTAATCCCAATCTTCAACCCATCTACATATAGCACATCGTTCTGTAGTCCACTTGGCACAAACAGGCTCATACTTCTCTGTCAGAGAAAATGGCGGTACCATTATCACTAAGAAATTCATCTCAAAAAAACATTGTAAAGTCGTACAATAAAGGAGTTAAAAGGTACCTTGTAGAAAGGTAAACAACTTCTGCTTCTTTTCTTTTAAGGATGGTTTTTTAGGTTTAACAGAAACTACAGCATTAGCATGAAACTCAGCCAATTGCAGCATCTGAGAAGTCAAAAGGATTGTATTAATTATAATCAGTAATTACTCTTATTTCTTATAATAAAGGCCTCCCCCCTCACCAATAAATCTCCAACCTAAATCTTCCTTTTTCTAAGTGCCACATATGCTAATCATACAAGACTAATAAGTTCCTACTTCTCAATAGGTTATAACAAAATAAAATATCAACATCGGTGGAATTGTGATGTTATAAAATTTAAGTTGCAAAAAAATTCAATTAATAGTACTAGTTGGCAGAACTTTAATATAAGAAACATATACAAGCATATCAAATGTCCTGCTATAAATTTTACAAGTCTATAAAGAGGATGATTCAACACTTAAACCATCACTCTCTTAGAGTAAATTAATAATATTAATTGGCAGAACTTGATATAAGAAATATATGTAAGTACATCAAATGTCCTGCTATAAATTACAAGTCTAGAAAGAGGATGATTAGGCACTTCAACAGCCATTCTATGAGATTAACCAAACAAATACGTAGCACATCTTCAGGACAGAGATAAGGAGTATTATGTGGGAAAGTTATATAACAGTCATTTACAAACCCATTTTTCCAGTGATAGCATGGATCCTTTCACCTGAACACTTGTCCTCCAATTTCTAAATTTGGAACCTGTGTGTCGTTCCCATTCTCTAAGTGTATGTTTTTTAGTCTTGCAAAACCCACACTTGCACACAACTCTGAAGAACATGGAAAACCATGAAAAAATCATTTCCTCCATATCATAATCAAAAAGAAGAAATGGATTATTTAGACAAAAAGAAGAAACAGATCACTTATACATGATAACAACGTCCCCTTAAAAATTAGTATCAATCAATTTAAAACATGGGCATCTCACCCTTTACTTTAACCATCAAATCAACACAAAAAGACAACAGAACAAAAACCAATAATTGTTACCTACAAACTGACATTCAAAGAACATATGCACAATTATATGCAAAACTGAAAACTGTCATTGTCAAATTTCATTTATTGCAGCCATGGAATTAGATTTTGTATTGTTGTAAATAACAAAAATATCTTAGGGGATCCAACATTATCTTATTTGACCTTTTATCATCTTTTTCCTTTTTTTATTTATATTTTTCCAATTTATCTTTAAGTCAGTTTCCTTAATGTAGGTATAGGTGTTCCACTATAAAAGGATGATTAGAGAATGTAGTTGGTGAGATTTAGATTAATAAGATAAGCTTCTTTATAATATCAGTTTCCTTAATTTACCTTTTTTCTGCTGCCTGCTCTAACAAACAGTCTTGTTTGTTGTGTTTTTTCCTTGGATACTATGTGCAGTGATGGCTAAGAAGAAACTCATTCCTTTGGGTCCTAATGACCTGCCCGATGTGGTGGGTCCCTATCAAGGGTATAAGATCAAAATGAGAGCAGATGGGCATCTTATACTTTCTCCTTCTCCTATCTTTCTAATTTGGGTTCCTAACAATTGATCTGACCTGCTGGTTCTCGAGGAGAGACGATGTTTCTAGAAATGGAAGGATTGCACCATTGGGCTAAGAAGATGAAGCTGCCATAAATTTGTTATTGATAATGGAATTGTCCATAAATTGACATATGTTAATACTCCCCAACAAAATGGGGTTGCAAAAAGAAAGAATCATCATTTCTTGAGGTTGCTCGAGCATTTCTCTTCCAAATGTCTATTCCAATTTTCTATCGGGGAAAGGTTGTCCACACTGCCACATACCTTGTTATCATGTTACACACTCAGTCTTAAAGGTTGCACGGTGCAAATGGATATTCATAGTAAATTATAAATCCGATGGGGCAATAGATCAATACAAAGCAAGATTGGTGGCAAAAGGATACATCTAGACATATAGGATAGACTATAAGGAAACATTTGCCCCAATTGAAAAGATGAATGCAATAAGAGTTATTCTTCCCCTGGCAGCCCATTTTGGCTAGGACTTGCAACAATTTGATGTTAAAAATGTCTTCTTTCATGGAGATTTTGAAGAGGTTTACATGGAGATACCCCAGGATTTGCATCTCACAGTAGAAAGAACAAGGTATGCAGGCTAAAATATGGCCTTATATGGGCTTAAGCATCTCCCTGAGCATGGTTTGGACTTTGGCTTGGATGATTTACTCAAGCAATGATTTCCCTAAGGTATATACAAAGCCAAGGTGACCACACTTTTTTCATAAGGCATTCGTCTGTTGGAAAAATCGCCATTCTTTCAATCAATGTAGATGATACGATCATTGTAGGTGATGACAAGATAGAGAAATTGAACCCTAAAGGGGAAACTTGCAACCTAATTTGAAATGAAGGACTTAGGGAAACTAAAGTATTTCCTAGGGATAGAAGAAGTCACCTATTCTCTCAAAGGAAGTATGTTTTCAATCTTTTCAAAGAGACAATAAAGTTGGGAAGAGTCCCAATTGAATAGAATCACAAGATTGGAAGTGAAGAAAGTTTGCATGTAGAAAAGTCATGATACCATATATTGGTAGAGAAGCTCAACTACTTATCTCACACTAGACCAAACATTGCCTACACTATCAGTGCTGTTGGTAAATTCATGCATGAGCACTAAGAGAGACATCATCAAGCAATTAAAAGGATCCTTCAATACTTGAAGGCATGTATAAGGAAAGGTCTTTTCACTAATATATTTCAGGAGCTATACACAATTTGGGAATGATTGATATTAATTTACCAACTAGGGGGTGTTGTAAATAACAGAGATATCTTAGGTGATTCAAAATTATCTTGTTTGATCTTTAATCATTTTTTTGCTATTTATTTTAAGTCACAGTTTCCTTATTTTTAAGATAGTTGTTCACCTACAAAAGGATGTTTAGAAAATGCAGTTGGTGTTATTCAGATTAATAAAATAAAAAAAATTTCATCTCATTCTGAAAATGCATGTATTAATTACCTATCAAGAAAAGGTATTAATTTTTTACAAATTTCTACACCTATTACAAATAAAACAACTATAACCAATAAGTAATGAATAATACCGATAGCAATAAAAAAGTTAATGATGATAGATAGAATAGGATAGACAGGACTTATGTAAAATGCTTCTGAAGAATTTATGCTTACAAGTGCAGGCTTGGAAAATATATGCCTTCCACACCATTGCAGAGAACAGTGACCTTGTTAGGAAGCACTAGCTGCCCACCATTTTTTTTCCATCTAAACCAACAATTAGTAAGAAATACAAATCAGTGGAAGAAAAATGAGATACTTTTAAACAAACTAAAAAAAATATGATTTTTTCGATGAACTTAAATCCTAAAGACAAAATTACATGGAATTTACCGAGTTAAGCTACAAATAGGCACAAAGAAAAACAATCACATGAACTTACTTGACTTTTGGCTGTGATTTTTCTGAATCAGATAACTCAAAATCAAACTTCATTTTGCATGTAGGACACAAATTATCAGAACCTCCAAGATTCTTCAAAAAACAGAATATATCAATTAGAATAAAATAAAGATGTCTCTTTATTAGATTCGAATGCAAAGAAAAGATATTCTGACATCAAGTGTAATGGATAAACCTTGAAAAGGTTGTTGGAAACTTTGTCACATTCTGCATGCACCCATACTCTACATCCATCGCAGCACACCTAATTCAAAAGGAATATCCCAAAAAGGGAAACAAAAATCAATACTAGAAAAGAAAAAAAAAGTTGAGTTAAAAACACCATAACCTTAAATAGCTGACAGGATCTAACTAACCCAACTTCCGCTATCTGAATGATTCCAAATTTTCTTGCATATGCCACAACAATGTTTTGATTTTGTTAACTTTTCAAAGAGATTAATTTTAAAAACTACCAATTATAAATTTTTGTAACAAATATAGTACTTCAATTATAATATTCCCATTACAGACTTAAATATAAGTTAATAGAAGGAAGGCAAAGGCAAGTTGCACAAACCATAGCACATGCTTTACATAAGAATTGGCTGCCAGGAGTCAAATCCTTTGTTTTCTTTGACATTTTGAACGGAAGCTCCAATCCACATACTTCACAAGCTCGAGTGTCTTTCTTGTTATCAAATAAATCCTACATGTGGAAATCAAATAAAAGAATCATTATATTAACTTGTCCAGATGTCAGTAGACTTTCACACTTCTGCACTTTGGTGTACAGGACTATGGAGAATGGCATAATATGATAAATCTACAAGCCAGCCCAGGTCTACTCATCAGGAAAGGACCCAGTGTCACAGTCAATTTTCTATTGCAAACTTAAGTTTGAAATTATCAACTTTCTTTAGTATCTTCTAAACATGATGCATGAGTACGTTAACACCCAATCCAGATCTGCAAATGAAAAAAGTATGCCCTGTACATGACTTACCTGGTTCAGAGAGTGACATGCTGCATTCCGGTTTGAAGCAGTGATCTCTTGAATGCCTTTCCGTATAGAATCACCATAACCAGTGTTATTAGCTGCTGTATTTATATCTGCTATTAACTTCTCTCTAAAGCCCTGATCTGCCAAAACTGCCTCCTCTATTGCCATTTGAAATTCAGAGGGAGTATAGCACCCCAATTCAGACTGCCCCTGAAACCTAATTAAAGTAATATTATGCCAGGTAAGCAGCCAACATAAATTCTTACAGAAAAAAATGATAATTTTAAACAATGTAAATAAATAGACAACCCACAACTGCACACCTGTCTACATGATCAACAAACGGAAAAATCATCCCATATTTCACCCAGGCATAGTCCTGCTCAGTATCACAAAACACACAAAATGACCATTATCTTATAAGATCCGGATTTCCAATATCAAAGTCACAAGGTTTTAAATTGCCGTTCCAGCTGCATTGCAATAACCGAAATCGTACAAAATGACAGACCACAATGGCAATCGAGACATGGAAACGTCTAAAGTCAATATATCGTCACTGCATTTCTAGTTGCAAACTGCAATTTAAAACCTTGATCAAAACCTTCACAGGAAACAGTAAATAATACCCTTTGATTTTCACTCCCAGCGTACCCAAGAAACATGACACAAGCAGCATCAGGAATACACGACTTCAAAACCAACTCGGGAGCCTGACACATAGGATCAATGACAATGGCAGGCCAAAAAGGTTCCTTCCACCCTGCCTTGGCCCACACTATATCCCCAGCATAAAAGTCTTCTGGTCCATACAATCCCTCTTTCTTCTCCTCCTTCAAAACGCCCTCGTTGCCCCACAATTCCCCCAATCCCTTGCTGGCAGCATCAAAATTCTTATGCAGCACCTCCTCACACAATGCAGAATACCCTCGAGCCTTATTGCTCTTCCCTTTTCTCGATTTCTTCACACTCTCAAATTCCTCATCCAATTCACATTCAACCTTGCTTTCCTTCCTCCAATCCTCAATTACCGAATCGTTGAACCGCGATGGCAGCGCCTGCACCCGGCCCCGCGAAGTCCGCACCAGCGCCGGGCGTGAAGCCTTCTTCTTGCCGCCGCCGTCGTTTGCGCTCAGCGCCGCCGCGCTAGCTTTCACCGACGCCCCCAGCAGCCCGCAAAAACTCGCCGGAATTACGCCAGCGAGGAGATTCAGAGGGTAGCAGTGCCCATTCGTCTTCCTCCTCTTCTTCCTCTCCGCGGCGGCGCACTCGTTGTCCTCGCTTCCCGCGTGGCCGAGTCGCCGCCGTTTCAAACTCGGCATTTCGGATTTCAGGTTCCGCTTGATTATCATTATCGCAACAAGGACCAAGCAATCACTTCCGCATTAACCGAATCCGAAGCTCCGATCAAATCTTCCGGATTCCAAATTTCAAACATAAACCCTAATTTGGCATGGAATAGAATTGCTGCGGGAAACAGAGCAACATGGGAACCCAAAAGCGCGACGCAAGTTGAAAAACCTCGAGCAAAGACAGCAAGAAGGTTCAGAGATAAAGAGAAAATTGAGTTACGCGAATGTCGGAAAATTTCGATCGAACGAAGCAGAATAAGAAATAGGGATCTGTTTTCGGCCAAACTGAGGGGAGCTCGGAAGAAAAATATTAAAAAATTATTAATGTATGGGAAAAAAAATCCCAGATAATTTGCAATGCAATAGTAAAATAATCGGAAAAGAAAATTCGTATAGGGGGAATTATTTTAGAGAAGAAAAAAAGAGTAGGAGAGGAGTGACGACAGAGTAAGGCTATGCGAGAGAGAGAGAGAGTAGTTTCGGCGTTATCTAGATTGTGCTAATGTTTTATGCAACGGAAATGGGTTACTTGCGCGTCACGTGTTGGCAGCGCGATTTACTTGCTAATGTCTTGTGATTCTGGTTCGTTGGTGGACGGAGGCTGTGGCGGTGTTACAGTTGCAATACCAATGCCAATGCAACTAATGAGGCAACAAAAGGGAAAGAATTAAAAGATTGGGGCAAAATTTGTTCCGTGAATTTTGGAGTCTTCGTTAATGTGGCACTTAAATGTGTAAATATGTGTAGGGGTAGAAATTAGAAACGCGATCAAGAATTTATTGTTACCGGTTTTCATTCCATTTTGCGTTGTGTGATTTGGTGTGTCGTTTTAGTTGTGATTGTGTACTAAAATTTTGTGTTGCTTGCTGGATTTTATTTTTTACCAAGTTTTGTATTCTCCGACGGCGGAGTTGCGACAAAATTTAGTTGGATTTAGCAGTTGCACATGACGAGGTATTCTTTTTCTTTTTTGTGTTTGATTTGTTCTAAATATGTCCCCATATGGTGTGGACGAGATTACATTTTGAAACTCACGTTCGAAATTTTAATTTTGGTTTTACAGAGTCTTCTTTTGTAGGAGGAGGACGTGCAACAGAGCTTCGAGGTTTATTTTTGTTGTTATTCAATTCCTTATGAAGTTTGGCAACGAATTTGGATTTGTTACGCCGTAATGGAAATTGATTCATGTGTCTCTCTAAATTGAAGAACAACGACGTCCGCGCCAAACATAAGTTTCGTTGCCCTACCCCACCCACCAAAACCTTCGACATGCTTAATGGGTGGTTTTTTGAGGGTATAGAAAAAAAGGTGGCTGAATCATATAAAACATGTTTAGATAGAAAAAAAAAATACTCTTTAATTTTAAAAAATTACAAAAGCCCTTTAACTAAACATGTTGCAAGTTCAACCAATTGGTTTTACTTGCCATAACTTTGCTTCTTTTTTTTTTTTTTGTCATATTCTATTTTTTAAAAGAATATATAAAGAGGAAAAGTCATCGACCGGTTGGGATCGTCTCCCTCTTGAGCAGTCCTAACAGGAAAAAGAACTGATTTCATTTTTTATTTTGTAATAAGTCGTTTTTGTAAAATATATATTTGAACTGTAAAATATATATTTGCAGGGTTACAGTGAAGCCATGGAAGTTTGTTAGGTTAAATCTTGCGGTAGGACTAATCCGAAGCATGGATGTACCCTCGTTGATGTACATGTACCCCTGTAACTTCGTTTTCTGAACTAAATAGAAATGAAAGTAAGCATGTAAAAGAATATATACCTTTTGTTTCAATTTCTTTGTTAAATGGATATATTTATATGCCGAAAAAGACCAATATCCGTACGTGGGTTATCAGTTCCGAAACTCAACTCACATAGCATCAACGAAGAAAGCTGTTAGTTAACGATGAGTAAAAGAAAAATGAAAGATAAGTCGATTATTGTTTGTACTCTCTTCTATTAAGGCGAGCTAACTTCATCTCCATTTCCAACAAGTCAAGTTAGGACAAGCCAGCTCATATTAGATCCCTTAGTATCACATGGCAAAACTCTAAGTGGTTCATTTATAACAATTATGAGATTATCTATGCATCACATATCTTTCAAAATTTAGGATCATATTATTAAGAATAAAATTTTTGTTTATCAAAAATAATATATTTATTTAAATATCTCATAAAATCATATAATATTATCTCTAAATTTAGATATAAGATCAATTACTTATATATAAGACATTAAATATCATTATAACCTTAATTCATAAACTTTCTTGTAACTTGAGTATTAGAGTATTTTTGCAAGTGTTTTCCCTATCGTCAACAATCGAAGTAGGAAGAACACTCACTCTCTTATTGGAGTACTTACAAATTCTGATAAGAACATTTGGCATCATTATAGGGTTGAAATTAAATTATCCTCTGGCCACAAGGTTTTCACCTGGAATCAAACGATAAACAACAACATAGTAGTAGCCTCCATGACAACCAGGAACCCCATTCCAATCCCAGTACTACCTCCTCAACACCATTCGTCGTGCTTACAGTGCCATGTGATGTGCTTACCGCACTATCTACCACACCCACAGCGTTATTTGTTGTGTAATGACCTAGCATGTCATTCACTATCTACAAATCATCTCTACGCAACAAAAAACATACAACATAAATCTAGCCTAGGGTTCTCATGCAACCAATATATAGTCTCATGAACATAGTTATATGTAAGGAGAATAAAGAAATATAATTGATCCTTTACATATATACTACATACATAAAGAGTAAAATACTATATATACAACATATATAAACCTTGAACCATTAATCAAACGTCTATATAACCTGACTACATCGAAGTAGCCTCAACAAAACCAAGCTACCACCAATGTGACTCACCACTAACTACACAAGTCAATCTCGCTAATCCTATTATTCTCCTATATCAAGTATGATCATCACAGTTCCAATCACGAGGAAACACAAGGTAAGCTTGTGAAAAGAATCAACTTACACAACATCAATGTCAACATGAACAACAAAATCAACTTCAACATGCAACTTCAACTTATCACTTGTACTACTCATACAACTTACACAACTTAAAGAAAACTTTAAACAACTTACGCAATGTGATTAGCTTCAACATATTCAACATAACAATACACATACACACACACACACACATATATATATAACTAATGTGTCATCACACATATCAACTTATTGAGATCTCCTACGACTGAGATGAATAATTTACGTGGATTGACCTTACTGAATCACAATAGTTGGTATAAAACCATAAATAACAGCCAGTATAAATTTAGAAACAATGACTAGCATCAACTAGATTGATTTCATAGGTTTTGTCACTTAAAGTAGGAAGTATAATACTACTATCAGGGTAGAATAATTTAGGTATAAACCTACCATAATATTAGTCTACAACACTAAGCCCTTATGAGATTAGTTTATCAATTACCTTCCAAGTACTACATCCCTCTAATACTCACTTAGAAACTAAGTCCTTGGCCTTGTACTTTACTCGAATCTATGTGCCTAGTAATCCCGAATTAAGGAAGATGATCTTAGAGGAAGGACATAAGAGTACTCTTAGCATTCATTTAGGAGCTACTAAGATGTATCACGACCTTAGGGAAATATTCTGGTGACCTAAGGTGAAGAGAGGAATAGAGGAATTTGTATACTCGTGTGTAGTATGCCAAAAGTCTAAGGTGTTGAGCTTAGAGAAGCTTGAAGCTTAAAAGAGTTTTGATGATCACAAGATATAAGTCAACAACAAACAACTTGGAAGCACAAAAACAAAGTCAGACAAAGTCAAGAAAATATTATGTAATAGAGCTATGTAATAGAGTTTAGAAAACAAATTGGTTTGCATAAGTTTTTATGTTGTGTATGTTGTGTGCATGAGCAAATCTATATCTAAGCTGAGTAGAGAGTATATGATGATGAGTTAAAAGATTGAAAAAGTTATTTTGAGACTTAAAACAAAGTTTTGAGAACCAACTCAAAATAATCGATTATTGTTAAATATAATCGATTATTCCAGCAACAGACAAAATGGGATGCCTTGCTGCAATAATCGATTATTTGCCAAAATAATCGATTATCCTAGAAATGACTCTCTGGAATAATCGATTATTCAGCAAAATAATCAATTATATTGTTCTTGGTTGGTTTCTAGAAAACCTGAAGAACAAAATAATCGATTATTCTTTAAAATAATCGATTATCTGTGTCTGAGACTTTTATAAATAACTTGAACTTTTAGAAACTTCAGACAATGAGTGAGAACTGATAATCAAACTGAGAAAAGCGTTTTGTGGAGTCTTTGTGACCATCTTGGAGAGTTTTCTTTGTGAAATCCAAGAGTGAAAACGTGTGTGAAAAACTTTGTTAGAAGATCATCATCATCATATTCTTGAAAGGGGAGGATTAAGATTTGCTTCTGAATTCCAGGTGAATTCGTTCCTTTATTCTTTGTGAATCTTTGTAAAATCTTGAGAAAACTTTCTCAAGTGGTAAGGTTTCTTGTAGTGGGTTTCTACAAGGGGTGCTTTCTTGGGGTCAAGAAAGTGGTTATCTTTAGTGTTGAAGTATATGCATGTGTGTGTGCTTGTAAACCTTCTTCCTTGAGATAGTGGAACAAATCTTGATCAGGTGCTGATTGAGGACTGGATGTAGGTCACGTGTGGAGTGGCTGAACCAGTATAAAAGACTTGTGCAATCTTCTTCTACCTTATCTTTTACTTTGAGTAATTTCTTGGTTGAACATTAAAGAAGATAATTCTTGATTAACATGTGTGTGTGAATATTGATGGTTTAATCTGAATTAAAGCGTTGCATTTGAACCTCATTGTTTTGTAATCAAGAAAGCATATTGCACTCATACTTTCATAACAAGTCTTTAAAGGAGCTTCATTTGAAAATTCAGTCTTAGAAAAGTTTAAGTGAAATAAAGATCCTAAATACTCTGAAAATTTTTAAAGGGTCATAGAATCCAATTCACCCCCCCCTCTTGGATTGTGCCATTCTTTTCTAACATAAGGTAGAACACTAGAAGTCTTTAGGATTTTTACAGCCTTCAAACATCCCATTGTGTAAGTGAGATGGGGTGTAGATAGACCTTGGTTGTAGGTTTGCCTAAAGATTCTTAAGAAATTTGATTCTTTTTGGGTTATAGTGGATAGACTCACCAAGTTTGTTTGTCTTACCCTTATTGATAATAGATATTCCTTAGAAAGATTGATAGAGTTGTACATCAGTAAGGTAGTGAGGTTATATGGGTTTTTCTACTAGTATAGTTTCCAAAAGGGAACTAGAGAGATTACGACTTACGAATTAGAAAGCGAGATGCAAGGAGCTTACCCATTTCTATTTTCAGGTAAATTTTAAGGACAAAATTTCAAAAAGGGGGGAAGAATTGTAACACCCCAATTTTCACTAATTATATGAAGGCTCAAAGCCCAATAAGGGTGATTTAGTAGCCTAGAACGGATCGTTCCAAACTATTAAAAAGGCCTATAAACCCTAGATTGGAACGGGTCGTTCCAACACGGGCTTTTATGATAAAATTCAAACTCAAAACTGGATCGTTCCACTTTGGGAACGGGTCATTCCAAACATGGCCGTTATGAGTTAAAACTCAACTCCATAAGGGCCGTTCTGGTTTAAGAACGGACCGTTTTAGATGTGAATTTTACACATGA